AAAGCACAGTTCAGTCAGTTAAATAAATGTTGTCTTTTTAATTTAAACTACAGCATTTCCTTTCTCATACTAAAAAATCTGTAATTTAAATTTCTTCCAATACATAGAATTCTTTTTGGAAAGTACAAGGAAATAAAATTAGTCACGTTAACATATCAAAAAGTGTCGTCAAGAAATTTCCCCCACAATATACATTTAAAGTTTATATTTTTATTAAAACATTTCTTACTCAGCACTAACAAAAACTAAGAGAACATATACTTCTATCTTAAACAATTCTGCTATTTCAAAGCTGTATACATTTTAATTCTTAAGTAACTAAAAAATTTTCCATCAAAATATAAATTATCACATTTTACAAGACAGGTATTTTAAGTAATTTTACACTCACTCATTTCATCAACTTATTCTTTGTAGAAAAAAGTGACTCATTCAACAACAAATCACAAAGCTGTAATTTCTACTACCACCAGGGGGAAGAATGCTGATTCATAACATACCTTATTTATCATGAAAATCATTCCAAAAGACTTCCCCCTTGTGTCACCCTCCCAAAAATAAGTACAGAAGTCCCAGAGTGGAACTTTAAATTTTTTAAGTAGTCACTACAGAATCTGAAATGTGTCATTATGTCTGATATTCTGAAACTGAAATTACAAGTTAAGAAAACAATGTATTTGAATTTTGTAAATATTTTTTTGAGTAAGTATATAATGATGGAAATAGGAAAACCAGAAGCCATGAAATTTGAAATAGACTGTATGAACCATTAACATTCTAGGCATCAGTGAAAAGAGATGGACTGGCTTTGGTGACTTTTGAATCAGACAAATGGAATATGACGCTGGGAATGAAAAACAGAGTACGAATGGTATCAAAGTAGTAACCAAAAAGACAATTTCTATCCTGAAGTAATTATACTTAAGCATAATGTCCAGTATAATACATATTTCAGTAATTATATTGGGACTGACAGGATATTATCTATACGCATACAAGAAAGATCTGTTAATTCAACTGTTATTCCAATATATACACCAAAAGCTAAAGCCAAAGAGGAGGAAATTAAAGATTTTCATCAAATTTTATAATCCAAAATTGACATGCAATCAAGATGTAGCAATGATAACTGGTGATGGGATAAAAAAAAACTGATACAATGAAGAAGAAAGAGTAGTCAGAAAATACAGACTTGGGAACAATAATGAGGCCAAAAATGATCCAATTTTGTATATATAATGATTTATTCATTACAAACACCTTTTTAAAAGGAAAAAAAAAGGATGTTTTTTAAACATGGACCTCACAGGAATCAGACTGACTTTATCTGGGGAAAGAATCATTGAAAAAGCTCATTATCAAGAGCCAAACCCACGCAAGGTGCTGACTGTGGAACAGACCATTAATTATTCATGTGCAAGTTCAAAGAAGTTGAAGAAAATTAAACAAGTCCATGAGAACTAAAATATGACCTTGGGTATATCCCACCTGAATTTAAAAATAATTTTAAGAATATGTTTGAAACATTGAACACCAATGACTGAAGATCAAACAAAATGTGTGATAACATCAAGGATATCATCCATGAAGAGAGCAAAAGGTCCTAACATCAAGGATATCATCCACAAAGAGAGCAAAAGATCATTACAAAGAAAAAGGGGGGGGGGAACCTCAAAATGGATGTCAGAACAGACCCCGAAAACTGCACTAGAGCATCGAGAAGCCAAAACAATGGGAAGAGATGCTGAAGCAAAAGAGCTGAACAGGAGATTTCAAGGACACCTGGAGAAGACACAGCATGAACAAAGAGTAAGAGTTCTTAAACAAAAGGGAAGAACTTGCTTATCATTTCTCAAGCTGAAAGAACTGAAACACAAATTCAAATGCAAGCCCTGAGTTACAGTACTTAAAAGCTACAATGGGCAAAATTTTGAATGATACAGAAAGCATCAAAAGAAGATGCAAAAAATACTTCGAATTACTGTATCAAAAACAATTGGCCAACACTAAAATATTTCACGAAGTACCATATGATCAAGAGCCAATGAATGGTAAGGAAGGAAAAAACTGAAGCTGCACAGAAGGCAATGGTAAAAAGCAAGAATCGATGCAATACCAACTGACATGTTTTAAATGACAGATTCAGTTCTACACAAGCTCATCAACTGATTTTATGCTATAAAATTTAGTGGGAAGGTGACAGAGTGGAAAAGATCCATATTTGTTCCCATTTCTAAACCAGGAAATCAAACAGAAAGTGAAAATAATCAAACATTAATCTAACATGCAAGCAAAATACGGCTGATGATCAAAATAATGGCTAGAACAGTACACAAGCAGAGAACTATCAAAAAAAGTACAAGCCAGATTTAGAAGAAGTCATGACACCAAAGCTATCACTGATGTTACATAGACCCTGGCTGAAAGCAAAGAAAATCCGAAGAATGTCTATGCTTTATTGCGATACAATGGCATTTGACTGTAGATCTTAAGAAATTATGACTAATATTGAGAAGAATGGAAATCCCAGAACACCTATTGTACTCATTCATGCAAAACCTATATCTCGACCAAGAGGCTGTTGTGCAGACAGAGCAAGGTTCTACATGGTTTAAAATCAAGAAAGGCATGTTTATCAGGGTTTTATCTTTTTTCCATACCTACTCAATTTATATGCAGAGCAAATTATTCAAGAAGCTTTATTCTCTAAAGAGAATTGGCATCAGGATTTGAGGAAGACTCATCAATAACCTTCGGTATGCAGATGACACAAACTCGCATGCTGAAAGTGAGGAGAATTAGAAATGCTTGCTGCAGAAGATCAAACACTACAACCTTCAAAATGGATTGCATCTCAACATCAAGAAGACAACACTGGACCAAAAGTTCTAGAGATGACTTTCAATGACTTCACCTTACCTGGATCCACAACCAATACAGGTAGTACTAGCAACTGGGAGATCAGGAGTTATACTACACTAGGGAAGTCTGTAGTCTAGGATCTCACGAAATTATTGAGGAGCAATGCTGTTACTTTGAGGACTATGGTTCACCTGATTAGACCATGGTCTTTTTAATCACGTGCTATGCTGCTAAGGGCTGGACAATGGATGAGGCTGACAAAAGAAAATTTGGTGCCTTTAACTGTGTTGTTGGAGCAGAGTATTCAATATCCCATGGACAACCAAAAGATCAAACCGATATGTCTTGGAGAAGGCAAAGTCAAAGTGCTCATTGGAGACAGATGACAAAGCTTTATCTCCCATACTTTGGGCATGGTGCTAGGAGAGGCTATTCCTTAGAGAGGGATATCATGCTTGGAAAGGTGGAAGGATGCGGGGAGAAGACCCTCAACCATGTGTTTGAATGAGTTGCAATGAGTGTGTTTGAAATTGTGAAGATGGCACAGTATATAATAGGGTCAGATCTGTTCTTCACAGGACACCTGTAAATCATACTGCACCAAACAACAAGGGCATTTAAGTATAAAACAATGCTCAGTAGTTAAGAACAAGGTTTTTTCAGTGGTAATCTGCCAATTAATTGATATGACCTTGGAAAATTCACTTAATCTAGCCGAGCTTCAATTTTTTTATCTGTTGTTTTTGAAGATAAGTAAAAAGTCCTCTCATTATGCCTGGCACAAGAGAAAGATAGTAATTGCTGTGATTAGTATTATCACTGAAATTCAAGCTTGAATTGTAATTAGATCTGAATGAGAAATGGTTGTATAACTCTAGAATGTAACTTAAAACAACCTAATGGTCAGTATCTGTTTTTATAGGTGAAGCATTACAGTAGCAGAAGAGAATTCCTAAAGATAGTAAGTCAAACAAACGCCAAGAGATAAGTGCCTAAAATCAGCAACCAATTTATGGAATATTCAAGGAAAATGCCTATGAACAAATGGAACAAGAAGGCAACCTTCAAATAACCCCTACAGCTTTGGTGATGAGTTCAAGCAACAATACGTAGGACAAGCAAAGAGCCCCAACATTTCCTCAAACAAGAAATAGAAAGTCAATTAGGAATAATTTAACTTATTTGGTTTTCAAAGACTAAAACTGAACAACTGACAGATATATTTTACTTTCTAGAAAAAGAACACCAAACAGGCAAGGAGACAAAAAGCGGTGAGATCTGGCTCATGATTTTTCTTACCTGAACATAAGAAACTTCTTCTGAATTCCACCCTCACTAAGTATACATGAATTTATAAAATATTCAACAAAGTGGTCTTTTTATCACATTTAAGAGATTATCTATTTTTTGGTACACAATATATACCTAGAACTACATATACAGAAATACAGAAATTTGAATTTATAGGTACAGGATTCCATGACTGCTAGTGTTTTCTTAATATTGATTATTCAATAATTAGCACTGACCATTTAGTACAATTAAGCACCATTCTATGACCCAAGAATGCTGTTGCACTCTAGTAGGTGAGATTAAAAACAAATAAGACTATATCATATGGTAATAAATATTATAATAAAAATAAATCAGAGTTAGGTGGTAAACAGTGACTCAGAAGCCATTTCAGACTGGAGAGAAAAATCTGCTTGTATTTTATGACAATTACTCCAATTAGTCTGAGATTTGCCTCCAAATTTTAAAGTAACTTTTCTTTTTAATACTTTTACTTAAATTTGGTAGGAGATAAAATTTACCACTACTAGTTAAATATTTTACATATAAGAAGAAATGAAACTTTATTCAGCCTGTAACCAGATTCATTATAGTAACAATTCAACTCATAAAATATACTCACGTATTTAAAATAATGTGAAACATTTTATTGCCTATGCATACTTCAAATACACACAATGACAACTGATGGTCATTATACTGTGTTTTGAAATAAAATTTGCTAAATTATACATAGACTACACTCTAAAACCTCACTTTAAAAAAAAAAAAAAACCCTCACTTTTACAATGAGATTTTACTTTGAAATTCAAATATCCCAGTACAAGGGGTTCAAATTAACTCACCCGTGTCTGTACACAGTGCAGAAGATTTAGAACTCTGTAGCCAAATCCAAGAGAAATCTGCAATTTAAAAAAAGAAAGAAAAACGCATGAATAAAAGTTGTAAGATGCTGTTGGACTTCTAAGAGTATATGTGTAAGACAAATATTTACAATCTTCTGTATTAATTACATGATTGTACAACTGATGTTGCTGAGTGCCAGCAACTTAATTACATGTTGGCTGTCTGTGCTACGCAGGACTGCGCCACTGACACTAGGCCATCTATCTTCAGAGAAAATGTGCTTATGATATTTTTTGGTCTTAATTTTTACCATGTGTGTTATAAGTTCTGGGAAAATTAGCTGGTTGCTACTAGTAACAGTACTGAGAACTTTTGGGGGGGTACCATTAAAAACTACTGAATTTAATTGGTTTTAAAAAATGTTTTAACATCTAAATCAGATTTTATTTTTCTGTCAAGTGGTACCAGTCAGTAATAATTTACACTTGGATGCCTTCTAAAATTTAAAACATTATTAACTCTTTTAAGACTCTTTTACACTTCAGAATAATTAACAAAACCAACCAACAAAAATAAAATCAAACCCACTACCTGTGATGATTTCAACTGATACTGGCCCTCTATCATGGAAAAGAACTGTTCCATATGGGTTTTGAGGTCTTAAATATCTATGAAAGCACTCTGATGGTCTAATGGTAAGGACCTGTACTTCCCATCCCAAAGGTTTGTGGTTCAAATTCAGTTGCTCCTCAGGAAAAAGATAAGCAATCTTCCCTGAAAATCACCTGAAGGATCAGCTCTAAGTCGATTCTGACTTGACAGTGTTGTCTATATGTCCCATCAAGGTGCTTGAGCCAACCTCACTGTCTCTGACACACTTATTCCCATTTCCCCAGCGACTGAGACAATTCATCTCATCAAACTTCTTCCTCTCTTGCACTGTCCCTCCACCCTCCCAAGCATGAGGTCCCTCTCCAAGGACTGATCCCTCCTTGCAACATATCTAAAGTATGTCAGATGATACTTCAGAGTCCTTGCCTCCAAGGAGCAGCCCGGTTTTACACTCTCTATGTCAAACTTGTTTATTTTCCTAGCAGTCCATGATATAGTCAATACTACTCTCCAGCACCACAGCTGGAGAGGAAGAGTTTCAGGCCTACTCAAATGTAGAGTCCATGTGTGCTTTTTACACACAAGGCTTGTTGTGGGAGCTCTGATTGTGACTGTGTGCTCATTTTACCAACAGATCATCAACAAGAAGACACCAAAAACAAGGCCAACCTAAAAAGGTCTACTTCTTGTTGTGTACCATCAAATGGGAACCAAGCCATACCTTTCATATTACTTTTAATTCAATAAAATAACTTTATAATCTAAGTACTGTTAAGTTGCAATGTTTTAATACTATGAAAGATGTATACTGGACAAGCAAGGTAAAATCCTTCTCCAATTACTGAGTTGACGGTGCTAAAAATAAGCATCTAGGCCACAGAGAAGAATTTACAAATTAATTAACTTCTATATATACTTCAGGCAAGCTGGTATTTTCTTTTTTTAAAGGACTAAATCTCTGCTGAACACCATTAATGACTCTCCACTAATGAAACTATTCAAAAAGTAATTTTGATTTCCCAAACTCTGTTTCAAAAGGGTCAGTAGTCATGGCAAAAGTCACCTGCTTAAATGTTTAGCCCTTATAACTTATGTATAAAGATTAATTAGTTGGCCTTCTAATTATTCTAACTATTAAGTTTGTCTATTAGTCAATTTAGCCAAAGAAATCATTAGTTTACTCAAACTGGCAATAAAATAAATGTAAAACTTAGAATGTTCTTTTGTTATTTTAACTCAATTTAACAAAATGCTCAGCTAATACAATTAACCATAAGGTATACAAGTAGAGATTCAGGTTTGTAATTTAGCATTTTTTATCCATGCTGTACTTAAAAAAAACCCTTAAAACACACAAAAAACCACAAAACACCTAAGTCCCAATAGCCCAAAGTGTGAAAAAAATTTCTAAACTACAGTTAAGATACACGGTCACACATATAAGTGACAAGTGTGGTAACAGTAAAAACTAATGTACAAATAAAGTGCACACATCTCAGTAAGGTCATTCTTTTCAGTGGCATCTCTTGTCTACTATTCATAGCCATATAGTGAAGTAAATAGAGCAATGTACTAACTCTCCCAAGACTCGTATTTTAGATCAGACGCACAAAAAAAAAAAAAAATTAATCTCCAGCAGTAGTTAAACATACACAGCTCAAATTTGCAAGAGAACTAACAATACGAAATTTGGCATCACTACTTTTTTTTTTTTTAAATTTTTGTGTGAGTGTACCATCAAATCAGATCTGACTGGTACAGGAGGAGATTGTCCCTCCTTCTCCGGCACAGCATCTGGTGGATTCGAACCGTGCGACTCTGGGATTGTAGTTGCAGGTCCTTGCCAATAGGCCACCAGAGCTCCCCTTGGCATCACTACTTTTAAAAATCTTCACCATCTCTGAAATACCTGAGACCATTCAGTTACTTTATCAGTCCATATTTTTTTAATGACCTTTTCAATCATGGTGTCTTTTTCGAAGGGCTGGTCCCTCCTAACAACATGTTCAAAGAATGTGAGATGAGGCTTCACCATCCTTGCTGACAAGGAGCCCCTCTGTCGTACTTTCTGCAAGTCCTATTTATTTGTTCTTCTAACAGTCCATGGATATTCAGTACTTTTTTCCAATACCACAACTGTAGGGCAATTTAATTTTCTGTCATCCTTATCACTGTCCAACTCTCAGATACATAGCAAAGTAATTTAAAAGATCATTACTTAGATCAAGTTCCCGCTAGTCTTTTTTTTTTAACTTTAAATTTAATGAAAATTTAGAGACTTTGGATTTCCATTCATTCATTGTTGCATTTTTCTCCCTGCCTATCCCTCTCCCCAGTACATTCTTCTCCCTGAAAAGTAAATGAAAAATTCTTTCATTGCCCTTTAATCTATAAAGTGACATTTTTCAATCATTTTGCTTTTTAGTATGTTGGAAAGGTTTGTGACTGTAGATTTTCCTGATGTAATGCATCTTATGGTGTCTTGACTGTTGGTGCCTAAAGATGATGAGGCTGGCACAAGATAGTGCATGGTTCAGATCCATTGTTGTTTATGGGGTTGTTCTGAGTCAAAGTCAACATTTAACAATAACAACTATAACCTAAAAATAACATTTCATAGAACTCCTATGATTCATATAGAGAATATATAAAGAAAAAAAGAGCGGAGAGTCTGCTCAACTGAGTGCCTCCTCCATATTGAAAACCACAAGAGCAACAGGTCAAGGAAAATGGGAAGAAATTATCTAAGAGCTAGAAGTAAACCCAGTAAAGACAAGTACTGTAGTATCTAAGAGGAGATAATTCCAATGAATTATCCCTTTCCTTATAGGCGGTGCTCTATCTGGTTTCCAGACTTTGAGATGTTGTTGTCATGTGCTGTCACTTGCGACTCATAGAGACCCTATGTACAATAGCCCTAAACTCCGCTCTGTCCTGTGCCAATAGCACTGTCTCTGACACACCCATTCCGATTACCCCAGCCACTGAATCAGTCCACCTCAAAGAGGGCCTTCCCCTCCTGCGCTGTCTCTCCACCCTATCAAGCGTGATGTCCCTCTCCAAAGACCAGTCTCTCCTTACAATATGTCCAAAGTATGTTAGACAGAGCCTCAGAATCCTTGCCTCCAAGGAGCCACCCGGTTTAACCCTTTCCAGGATGAATCTGTTTGCTTTCCTAGCAGTCCATGATACTCTCAATACTCTTCTCCAGCACCACAGCTCAAAGGCATCAATTCTCCTATCGTCCTCAGTCACTGTGAAACTCTCTGATGCATAACAAGTGACAGTAAAGACCATGGCCTATATCAGACTTTGAGAAGAGAGAAAATAAATTTCTGTACTTAAAAGTCATTTGTTTATAATATTTGTGGTTGTAGTGTTCTTGTTAGGCTTGACTATGACTCACAGTGACCCTATGAACAACAGCAACAAATCTGAACCCTGTACTTGCTGTGCCATCTTCATAACATGGATATTGGAATGGTCACCATGTCAATTCACCTTGTTGAGTCTTCCTTTCATTAGTTGACCCTCCACCTTTCTAAGCATGATGTCTTTTGCCAAGAACTGCCCCCCCACCCCACCGCCCCCGACAGTATCTTTGGAGCATGCTGGTTGTACTTCCAAGTCCTATGTTTGTTCTTTTGGCAGTTTATAGTATATTCAGACCTCTTCCCCAACATCACAGCTCTAAAACGTTGATTCTCCTTCTGTCATCCTTATTCACTGTCAAACTAGCAGGTAAATGCAAAGACCATGTCCTAAATCAGATCTACCTTAGTATTTATATTGGCATCACTGTTCTGCAATACTTTGGGAAAGGTCCTTCACAGAAGATTTGCCCAATGCAATACATCTTTTGATTTCTTGACCACTAGTACCAAGGGTATTGATTTTAGATCCAAGTAAGAAGAAAAAGTCATTAATCATTTATCTATCATGCTGTGGTCTGCTGGCCTACTGAGGATTTTTGCTTTTTTGATGTTGAAATGCAATCTACACTGAAGCCCAATTTTTATCTCCTTTAGCAAGTATTTTAAGTCCTCCTCACTTTCAGCAAACAAGGCTGTTACATTTAAATAATGCAGGTTGTTGATGAGTCTTCCTCAGATCTTAATGCCACATTCCTCTTCATAGAGGCCAACTTCACAATCTGATCAGCGTAAAGCCTGAATAGGTAAGAAGAAAGGATGCAACAATGTATTCAAACACTGCAAATAAATCAGTATAAAATAAAAAAGAACAAGAATTTCAGAATATTTAATTGTGCTTATGCACAACCTATGTTGTTATATGCCATGAAATCGCCACAGTCTTTGCAATGACTTGCTATGCATTGGAAAGCTGGACAACGACTAGGAATGACAGATGGAGAATTGATGCCTTTGAGCTGTGGTTTTGGATAAGAGTACTGAATATACCATGGACACTAAGAGAATGAACA